AGAGTGGAGCATTGTACAGGGCAAATGGGGTGCCACACAGGGGAACTTCATGTGTCCGATTTTTTATTGTAAGGCAGTTTTAGGTGTTTATCAGACTGCTTACTTGAGAATTACATACATGTATGTTTAAGCTTCTCGGTGGTAATTTATTTGATACGGCCTCTCATGGGATAGATTTGATCTCTGATACTCAAAAGGTGTTAAAAGCTCTTTTAAGTTGTAATTTTGAGTATGGAAGCGGTGTTAGTTTTGTGCAGTGTAGAAATGCAGAGTGTGCTCAAGAGTGGTGTTGTGTGCTGTTTTTAGCCTCCATCAGAACTGAGGTAATCATAATCCCAGTTGAAAAACCAGTGGAACTTAAGGGGCAGGATGGGAATCTACCATAAAAAGGCAGTGGTCTGTGTTCTGAAAATAAAGCACTTAAAATTACCCAGCAAATACCTTCAAAGCAGATTTCCATTATCTGATAACACGTCTCGTTTTTCCTTGTTTGGCTTAAGCCAAGCTCAGAAATTGGAGTGTGCTTTTTCTGGCTAAAACGAGGAGTATTTTGCACTGGCAGCAGGTTTTGTTCAGAACTGGGCAACAAACGTAACCTCTGTGCTATTAAATTGTTGGTAAGTTTGTGATTTAAAACCTGAGAACAAAATGATACCTCTTTGGGGAGGTCACTGAGGTAGTGGTGGTGGCTCCTGCAGTCAGCTGGGAAAGAGGCCAGGACAAGAAATGGGGGAAAGCAGAGAGATGTTACTGTTGCAACAGAGGTACCAGGGGAAAGTAGATGGATGCTACCCATGAGGGTTGTGCTCTTCGTCACCTTTTCCTAGTAGATAATTCAGGTTTGGAGCAAATAATACACAAAATGAAAAGGATGTTCTCTAACCATTGATTTAGAAGACTGCAGGTGATGGGATTTCATGTTGTAATTCCAAGTTACTATTTTAATATGGGGCATGATACTCGAATAACCCGTGACTTAATGCGCAGGTACCCATCCTTAGGGGATCGTAGGCACAGGCATACTTGTTCTGCTGTTGGTGTAGCGGAAGGATAGTCGGTGCTCAGAACTTTAACGATGCTGAAGCAGCAGAAAGCAATAGTGCTGCTTTTGATGCTTCAGTGTGCTCTTTCCATCTGTACTGTTGAAGCTGCATCTTCAGCTAGTGCTGTCAGCCAAATTCTGTCAGGTGTAAGCGTAGTAGTTTTTTACTACTTCTGCAGAAGCCCCAGGCAGCCTTATTTTTGAAGCCATAAAATGCAGGAAATGCCCTTTCACTTCTCTAACAAAAATGCAAACTTTTCACTGGAGTAAGAGAAACAACCCATGATTTAGGGCAAGTGTGGTGAGACAGAAAAGTCTTGAACCTACTGCAGTAAGTTTTAGTGCAGGCTTAGACATAGGTATGTGCATATATTCAAGCCCTGCGTTACAGCAAGATCTGTCAGAGCTTTCTAGTTACGGATGTGTCTCTTCTGTATTTTCTCTGCTGAGCAATATTTCCATCAGACAAATCCTAAGGGACTGTCTGGCTGGCTGTACTGTCTGTAGACTAGGGGAGTTAGAAATTCTAAGGCGTCACTTCTGAAAACTTTGGTGTCTTTTATCCCTTTACTTTTTCCTTCAGCTGTATGTTCGCCTGAGTAGTGTGTGTTGCAAAAAGGCTCGTGCAAGAGCATTTTGGGAAAGAACTTTTTTCAGTTTTTCAAAAACTCTACTGTGTCATGTTCTGGTTTGTGGGTTTATTTATTTATTTATTGAACAGCAGACTGTTCCGAGCATTACCACATAGAGGCTTGGCTAAATGGGTACTGTATAAAATCATTTCAGATGGAGAAGAGTAAGCAGGAAGGAAAATTTTGTGCATCCTCTGTTATTTACTGTAGAAAAAAAAAAAATCAGCATGCAAAACCCATGCTGTATGAATAGCAGCAATCAGCAGAGCACACTTAAAGAATTGCTGATCAGCTCAGGCTCAGCCCGTGTTTCCCTCACAAGTATTCTTGCCACAGGAAGAGCAGAGCGTGACCATCACGTGTGGTAGATACCCTGCGATGAGGGCTGGTTGCTGCAGGCAGCAATGTCGTAGGTTCTGCAGGAGGTAAGTGTGGAAGAATAAACTCTGTTAAAGCCATCAGGATTCTCTGAGGCGTCTGGACCACTTGTAAAGGGATGTGTTACTGTGGGAATCTGGGATGCTTTTGGCTGTTGGGTTAAATGTATAAGGAGAATGAGGTCCATACAGCTGTTATGCTAAGTGTAGAGCTCAGCTCTCCACAACATAAGACAACAAAAATATAATCATGACTTAATTATAAAAATTTATTGGTTAAATACATTCTTAATTTACAGAGGTACCATAACAAACTTGCTGGACTTACCAAAGGTTTATTTAGGACACTGTTAACTGTACATAGAACAAAGATATCTTCCTGAAGATATTTCTAGAGGGTGGGACAGCATAAAACGTTTTGATAAATGAGGCTTTTGTTACCATACTAATGTGTGGGGCTTTAGCTGAATTTCAAGGTTACAGCTGAAATTTGCTACTATGTTGCAGTTAGGATTTGCCCTCTACCTCATTCTCGTTTTTTTTTTTATGATTATGTACAGTGCACCTTAGGAATTTTGTGTTAAATGATCTGTATGCAGTTTCATGGTGATACCAGGTATCAAGTCTTAAGAAAATCCCTTCCTGTAAAAGCCAAGCTTCTAATTTATTTCAGTTTTAAGGGTTTTAGCTGCCTGCAGCAATGCAAGCAGCCCTTAGATGGCACTCCTTGCTCTGGCTAGAAGGCTTTGATGCTCTTCTGCCCCCCTGTAACAGGGCAGAGAGTATTAAAATAAAGCCGAATGGTCTTATCTACCGACAGGCACTGACTTTAAACATTCAACGGAAGTTACAAAAACAACTGGTCAATATGCAGTTATAAAAACAGAGAAGAGGAAATTGGGAAAAAAATATAAAAAATCAGTTCTACTTTTGAGAGTTGTATCAAAATCTTATAAAACTGCCTGACACACAGTAAGTAAACAACATACACTTAAGCCTCATCTGCCACGACAGTGATGTGGTGTGCCTTGGGAGGACCTGGGCATTCTGTTTGGTGGTGTGGGAGCTGCTTGGTTCTCTCCTTGCTCTGTGCTCACTGGAGGTTCAGGAATTACGCTGGCACAGGTCACGGTGGAAGAAGCCTGCTTTAATAGTGATCTGCTGAAAGTTTATGGTTGAAAAGTCTTTTGAGTAGGGTCTTGCAGGAGTCGGGAAGCTATCTGTTTCCTTGGGTTCCTACAGAAGGAGATGGCTATTTCACTGGAACAGACAACAAGAACCTCTGGCATTTCCTGGCAGGAGAGCTTGGAGAGTGGGAAGGGTTGTTGTCCTCAGAGGTGGACTTACATTAACATTTGATTCCACAGGAGTTCTGGATAGGCTTGTTGGGGATGGTTAAACCGAATAATAGCTGTATAAATTGGTGTGTTTCCATCTTTCTAGAATAGCACAGAATTTATAATTGTTTTTTAGTGTTAATCCCCCTAATGAAGGTGGAAATCCATTTCTCAGCTCATTAAAACTTTGTGTTGTGTGATCTTCATCCCCCAGTTGTGTGAATGGTATTGGTGCAGGTTAAATACACAACACTTCACATTCATGAAGCTTCTAGAGAAGAAAATGGAGGGCTAACGCCTGTGTCTATATTTGCAAGTGCTGTGGCATAACAGTGCCTCTGCAGAGCGAAATGGTGCCAAGGACCTCATGTCTGTGCTGCTGTTCCTCAGGCTAGCTTCAGGCAAGCTCCAGCCTGCTGCTGAGACCTGTTCCCTGCTGCGGGGGAGTCCTTCAGTTCAGTTTTGGCTCTAAGCTCGTTTCTGCCTGCTGTGATGGTAACCAAAGTGCAGTGCACAGGGAGGGGTGGGAAGGGCTACCCTTACCAGCTTGTTTAGACACCAATTTAGATACACCTCGATCTTCTGTAGCAGTAGGTATTCGTTGCTGTAACGCTTGGACCTCCTATTGATAATGTTGCAAGCAGGCACATGTCTAAGTCAAAACTATCTCAAGGTCAATCATGATGATTCTCGTTTCCAGTCTCCCATTTGCCACTGAACTGTTGTCCCTCTTGCAACCTGAACATTCAGACCCACAAAGAAAAATCTTGTAAGGGTATCTTGATACCTCGTGACTTGCATCTCTCCGAGGAAAGGACTCACACTAACAGCTTACTGGTTCCTTTTTGCTATATAGTACAAAAGTGATGGAACACTGTCAGCAGTGGAAAAGCCAACTGCAGCATCATTTTTTCTATTCCAGTCTGAGGAAGTTAGCAGTTAATCAAGATGCATTTAACTATTTTGTCAGAAGCCGAGTGTTGCAAAAAGGAATTTAGTAGCAGAAGTTCCTATAATGTGAAGCCACCTCAATCATGTCTGTCTTAGTTTGTCATTCAAGTCACACCGATGCTTTCTACTAAATGCTTTTGTTCAAGCTTCTTGAAGTAACCTCTTGCCAGGCATGTTTTCCTTAAGGCCTCAGCAGACCATTTATAATGATGCTCAGTATAGTTGGTATGTGGTAACAAGCTGAAAACTAATCCTGTGTCTGCTGAAAGCTAAAACCAAGGCTGGATAATATCCTTCATGTTAAGGATAGGAATAGTGTTACTGAAGTATGTTCCAGTGCTGGAGCGACAAATGAAATGCAGAGTGAGTGCAGACTGGCTTTCCACTTACACGCAGTGGGTGGAGGGGCAAATAGTTGGAATAGTGCAGCTACTGCAAGGAGGGGATCTGAGAAAGCCCAGCAAACACTGTCTGGCACAACTAACTTCAGCTGGGGAAAAAAGGGGGTGATGGTGCTTCAAGAACAGTGGGCAGTAGAAAAATCGAAACCTGTATCTGTGAAGGATTTGGGGGGAAGGGAGGAAGGTCTAAGATGATTCATACCAATTTGAATTTAAGAGGCAAAAGTCTTAAGTTTTGCATTCTTGATCTTTCTGTATGAGCAGCTTGGGCTAAGAATAGAAGAATACTACACAAGGATTTACTTCTCAGTTTTCCCTCTTACCAGTATTCGATTTGATATTTCTCTACTATGAAATATCACTTATCTTCCTTATCCTGTAAGTCATAAAACAAGTGTATTCTACTGCTAATGTGGAAGTGAAGCAGTAATGAAACCTGAATATCAAACCTGATCTACATACCGAGTGCTGCATTATCTCTTAAAACCAATTTTTAAAATTTGGAACTTAAAGTTTTTAAAGAAGCCCAAAGAAGCTAACTTTATGCAGACTTTGTGCAAGATAAATGTAATACCAGATAGTAAACATACTAGAATGCTATTTAAGTTAAAATGGTGTTGCACCACAGTAATTCCCTAGTTGGAAACTGCTAAAAATCCTGCTTGTATTTGCTCTCAGAGCATTCATGAAGCCTGACTACATATACTGTCACGAAAGACTAAAATGTTCTTATTTGACTTCAAGATACTAGTATGACTGTCTAGAAAAGTAGTGCAAAACATTGATAGTCAAAACACATTGCTGTCTTTGCTGTGCCTTTAGGATAGAAAACATTCTCTCCCACGTGCAGGGAGTACAGAGAGGCAACGCTTCATAGTGTTTTTAAAATCTGAACAAAGTTCTTGGGAAATATCCCAGACTTTCCTTGTATCTCTCCACTCATCCAGTCCTCGTCTACAGATTCCAGCTCTGTTATTGTATCACCTGCCTGTAAGAGAAGGAGTAACGTGAGCCAGTACAGATTACTGTGCAATGTTAATGCATGCATAGCTGATGTTATTCAGAAGCAATTAATACCAATCAAATAGAAGAGATGTAGGATGTGGCCAGTCTCCTCTGGTGGTTGCATCTCTCTGAACTGAATGGAGCTTCTCTTAGGGTAAATTCTTGTCTATGCTGAAAAATCACCACCTCCCAGAAGTAAAAAATAGCGCTGCTGGATAACTTCTTGTGTTGCTTAAGCTCTCCAGGTAGGCAGGTATGTTACAGAGCTGGCTCACAGGCCCCCTGCCTTACTTGTTGTTTGTGTGTTTCCTTGCTATGAGGGTTTCTGTTCTTCAAATGCTTCAAAGCTTTTTTTTTTTTTTTCCCTTTTTAAAAATTTAGACCAAATATTCTCCAGCATTTGGAAACCCTCCTCTTTCCTTAGGAAACCTTCCTTTCCCAAAAAGGAAAGCAATCATCGAAGAAGCTCGGTGTGGTGTTTAAAATACACTGCAGCTTCTCTATTTGATCCTCATTCCTGTTTTCATCTTCCCATGCCCCACCCTTTGCTGTCAGGGCCCTGGCCTTTCTTCCAGTACTTCTGTTCCCCTTTCTGTTTTAAAAAATCATCTATCTATCAGCATTGCAAGCTATTAATGCTGAAACTAATTATTTTGCTAGCTTTAGAAAGAGAAAATTGGGTGTTCCAGCTGATAAACACAATTTTGGGCCTGCTGTGAAAGTCTGCTGTTTCTTGGAAACTTGCTTCGAGAACACAGTTACCTAAATCATGACTTTGAATCTACAAGAGCATGTTGTTTCTTGTTCATGCTTCTTAATATTATCTGGGCATCCAGCAAGTATTTCATTTCTCCCCTTGCTAACAATGTATGGTGCTGTCAAACCTTTAACTTTTGCTGTACTAGCTGTTCCTTAGAGGCAGTGCTGCTGTAGCACTGGCGCTCTTACTATTTATTATCCTCCTTCTCGTTGCTGTCTTCCACGTTAAAAGAGAGGTTCCATTGACTGCATCAACTGATCAAGAACTGAATGTACTGCAAAATGATGCTTGCTTGTCTTGTCATGTTTACTGGATCAGAGAAGGCAGAGGAATTCTGCGATTCCTGACCTCTGTTCAATGTCTTCAGTGAAGATTTTGCCAAGATGACAAAAGTGGTAAAGGCAAAAATTTTGTTAGAAAGGCCATTTATCTAATGTGTTCATAGCTGTGCCTGTTCTATGTGCTTCATTCTTTCTTGTTCTGAGCCTATTTTTACAGTGGATAAATCCTATTTTGTTTTTAGCATTCTTGAGCATAAAGCCTTTAGGAAAATTGGGCTAAGAGATGTACTTACTTTGAAGGAAAGCTCATCTTCATTTTCTCCATGAAAATCATAAAGAGCTTTGGCTTTTCCTTTCTTCCCTCCTATAGACTGTGACAGCTCTACCCTGGCTGCAGAACACGGACAAGACAAGTTATTTGGATTTGAGTGAAATAAATCTTTTTCTGGAGAAGTTTCCTGTCATTCTCTTGTTTTCTCCCTGCTAGTGTGCTACAGGGTGTCCAGATATTATTACTGCTGCTACTTAGCAAATTCACTGCCCTACTGGAAGAAAAATCTCTACTGACACCGGTTCATTTTACAGTAGTAACAGAATCTCACGGCTCTGCTTCTAAGAGGACTAAATTTAAAGTTCACTTACTTGAACTTCACAATTGTGATATCTAATAAAAGCTGTCTTTTCCTCTTTGTACTTGGGAGATGAAGCAGCAGTTGGGGTGTGCGATATATCTGCCAGTGGGTGGAATTCATTTCTTGTTAACTCTCACTTGTGGCTTTACATGCACAAACTATGGGAAAAAATTGTGATTTTCTGTGTTTTTGTGAAGGTTTTGACTGCATTAATTTGGGGACCAAACAGAAGCTTGAGGAGAGCAAAAGCAGCACTCATTCCTCACTTCACCAAAGGGATTAAAGTATTTGTGTCCAGACACAGCACTTGTAGTTATTTACTGTTCTACCTGCTCCTTAGCTGTGCTGCAGTGTTTCTCTTCAGCTGAGGGAGAACCTGACCTCCCCCCATCTTTTGTACCCCTGAATGGTCCTGCTTTGCCTCTCTCCAAACCATGCTTTAAACTGACTCAGGATCTGTATCACCTCTCAGACTGCTTACTGACTAGAGCATTATATTGCCATTACTAGAGAGAGTGGTTCAACACTTGGTTTAGCTTTAGGGTGTTCAGTACTGTGGTGGTGTGTGGCTTGTTAGTGCACTGGAATAGCTGGGTTATCTCAGAACTCTGTCATGACTGTCACAACCCAAGGAATAATGAATTGCCATCTAGTAGGAGCACTGTACCTGAGCAGGTCTGAACAAAAACTGCTGGGAAAATCCCTTCCTTTTCATTCAGTCTTCCTCTATACCACTCTGAATCTACTTGTTCCAGTATTTGGATGTAGTCTCCCTTTTTAAAGGATAAATCGTCTTTGGTTTCTGCGGTAAAGTCATGAAGTGCTTCACACCACTCTACTGAGCGTCTGTTGTTCTATTCAAGTGAACAGAAGAAATGCATTAATTTTAGACGTGTTAATGGAGAGCCTAAGCTGATGGATACTGGTGAAAGCAGCTGTACCGAACACAGGTGCCCTGACTTTCTCTCATACAATGGAGTCACTACAGATGTAGACTACAATGGCATTTCAGCAATTACCACAGAATTTCATCTAGGCTCAGATGCATTCCTTTTTATCATTGGTGGCAGGGGACAGGATTAATAAATTCAAAATTAGACCACCGCAGCAATACTCAAAATAGAGCTAACAAGAATTTGCTTAAGCACAAAGGATAAAAAAGTACTTATGTTAATTTGCCAGAAGCTATGAATTCAATCAGTTTAGGCCAACTGTCAGAATTCAAGATGTGACCATGCAGCATTGTGTGTGCTGAGAGTTGTGTTACATTCAGGTTTAAAGTTGTGCAGCTAATCTGGCATTATAATAGAAAGTCTATGTAAATCTATGAAATTGCTATGCAAATTCTAGCCCTCACCTATAAAATTTTATTACCTGAGGAAGAGAAGAAGAAACCTCCACCCTGTTCTTCAGTACTGCTCTTGTACCTGCATAAGTAAAGGACAACTTAGAATAGCAGCAATCACTATCCAAAATGTTACTAATGATAGAGATATTAGATATTCAAAGTGATTTTTAAGAACAGCTTCTTAAAAAGCCCTACTGTTTCTTTTGATCTCTCTTATCTGTCTTCTCTCCCTTTCTACCTCCTTCCTCCATTCACCATGCTTTCAGGCTTCTCTCCTATACGCTGCCTATGTGCATGCAGTACAAAACCATGTTCAGGAATATGTTTGCAAAAATATTCATACCTGTTCCAGGCAGATCTTCAATTACTTCCACGAAGTTCAAGGGGAAAATTCCAGACATGCCTCTGAGCTCTCCTTTGGCCCACTCTTCATTTACGTATTCTTTAAGGATAATAGTTTCACCTTCTGAAAAACTGAGCTCATCTTTCTGATCTCCAATATATTCAAATCGTGCTACACATCTTGGGCCTCTGCATAAACAAAAGAAAAACTTACTTGGCTTATTTATTATTGTTGTCCAATTAATAATAAGGCAGCATTATGCATAATATGGATTGATAGCTTTAATTAAAATGATGAAAGAATGCACTGAAGATAGAATTTTGCCCGTATCCAAGTAAGTGACCATTATGCTTTTGTTAAGAGTTTGATGTTTTTTTGAGCTAGCATCCAATCTGGATGCAGTCAAACATGTCTCGGGGGTGGATGTTGCGTATTTGTCCCAAATCCCAAATACATGGAGGCTTCATAGGGGAAAGCTAGTTTTTATGTACTTAGACAAACTTTCTTCTGTAAAATCTGTGTCAGGTATGAGGAAATAAATTACCTATCAAAGAAAGAAACATCAATGCACCTGATAAATTTTACATAATTTGGTATAATACTGAAAAAACAAATTATGTTTTTCTTCACTTAAAGAGACTGAATAATTTAATAAACTATTAAAATAAATTTAAGAAATTTCTCTAAGAAAATTTTTGATTTATCAGAAATACCATGCTAGAAAAAAGTAGTAATGGGCTTTAATTCTTACTATAGCATCACAGCAAAGAAACAATGTAAAAAACTTGATTCTCACCCCTGTCCCCCACACATCCAAAAGCTTCAGGACAGAGCTAGCACTTTCTGTTTCTTTCTTAGTTGCAGAAGCAGCTTTTAAAAATAAAGTTTTGGTTAAGACAAGCCAAGCTCTATCTGAAGAACAAACTGAACTAGTTCCTGCCTCTGCCTGAATATGATTTAATTGGTGCAATGAATGATTATGAAATCCAGTAAATCATCATTGAGTAAAATTGGCATGAGAAGTTCTTCCTTGCCCACAAATCTTGGTACAAGTCATTTGCCAATCAGAAATTAATGTGCTTGAAGTACATTTGATAATTTCACCCGAGGAACTTTAGATTTACCTGAATAGTGATGCACTTTAAGTTTAGATAGATTTCTCTCCTTAAAGTATGGCTTTATTCTGTCCCATTTTATCTTGTTCTTTCAAATGAGTAGGAGCCCTACCATGTTACATCTTACGAGGATATGGGAAGAAAGTAACAAGGCCAGGAGCAAAGACTGGAGAGTACAATGCTGCTGAAGTTAATCAGATTGGTTCACAGTTTCTGTAACCAATTTGCCTAAAAAAATCATGGGAGATGCTCTTCTAATACAGCTCATAAGAGGAAAGAGAGTGAGTGAAGTGGACTATATATATATATAAATATTTATCATAAAGTGATCTACCAATTTTTTGAAGCCAAGAAGTGAGTTTTTAGGCTTTTTTTACCTGAATGAGTCTTATTAAAACATCATAAACTTTCTGTTTTCAGAGCTTGATTTTTAAAATATATTTTGGTGAAGAAACTGTTAACCATATTAACCTCAGCGTAGACAACACCTGCTTCAAAGTTATCTTTCTTTTTACTTCCTAGTAAATCAAGATAAGAAAGACTCACTTAATACATCCTGATGAACAGGGTATTTTTCTCCTGTTGACACCTTCTGGAACATCAATCTAATGAGACAACAAAATAAGTAAAATCTTCCATTTTAGGCTCATGGCAAAACAACCACAGTAAACCTAAAGCTGGTTAAAATAATCTATTTTTCAGCTAAGCATCCACTCCAGTTATGACTTCCACGGGATACTCTATAGTCACTGGCATGCTATGATATATGACCATATTAATGTAGATTTCATTTCTATATGCCTAATTTCTCGTTTTTCTATCTATCTCATAAAAACAAGGAACACTATTTAATGTTTTCTTTTATGAAGCTGGCCTACTGTTTCTACTTGAGGCATGACTGATTGACAAAATTTGGGACTGGATGCTACTACATCTTGTTGCATTTAGCTCCCAACTTTCAATTGGTAATTGCCCTTTATTAGTGACTAGCACAATATATCACAATAGACAAAATTATTGTTTACGTGTATCCTTTCTGGGCTTTGGTAGCCAGCTGTCCTCCAAACAGAAAACACATCTCACAAATCTCACTTGTATTGGAGAAATATAATTTAGAAAATCGATACACAGATACATCAACCAGACAGCATTCAAGTCCTTTACCATAAGAGGACTTCAGCTGTATTTTTGGTATGACACAAAGGATGATCTGTGAGATGTAGTGTAAGACTACAAGCCTAGAGTTTGGGTTACAGCTCATTATCGCATTAGCCAGTTCTCATAAAAATCAACAAGTATGTTTCGTTAGCTTATGTGAAGGACTGGAGGAAATCATGCTGCTTTTTGGGACAAATAATCTTTGCAGTACTCTTGCTAGAGGAGCTGGTATCTGTGGTGCTCTGAAGGTTCTATGGGAAGTAATAACCATGCATTATTGTTAGGTGTCCAGACATCAAGCTATGACCCAGCTTAATATTGTAAAACACACTATAGCATATTGTATAGAGAGCTTGTATCAAGATCAAATCTGACATGAATGAACAGGAGAATTCACTCAGTAAATTGGCCTCATGTACTGCATTCTCTTCTTTTTTTTTTTTTTTTAATAATTTTGCTGACACAAAAGATTTTTGCACTCAAAGGGGTAACTACCTTTTACAACTAAAATAGAAATTTGAAACACATCTTCCCTAGCTCTTACAAAGATGTATCTGTCCGTATCAATGCTGGATTTGACCCCAAATATTAATTCCACAGCTTTAACATAAAATCTTTTCCCTATTAGCCATCAATAGTAACAAGAACTTTTAAATTAAATTTTTGGTCTGAGTAGAAGCACATAATCAATTTAGCTAACAGATCTTACTTGTGAAAGTGAATTGAGCATGGTTCCATTATTACTCACCCCAAGCCTGCTTTTTATTCTTCAGCACTTCTCAAATCTTAAAATTTTTCTCCAATAACGCTATTACAAACTAAACAGACAGTCTGTGTAACACATTCTGATGGTTACCATTTAGCATTCCTCCTTGTCCATATGGCTGGTGTGGGTAGCCCAACAGACGTTTCTACTGCCACAAAATGGACTTCACTCTCAGACTCAGGCTTGCCATAGGTTTAACCCAGCTTCTGTTGCAGTGAACCATACCGTATCTCTTTTAAAGATGAGGCATTTAATTAATTGCTATTGGGCTCCAAAACAGCACCTGTCTTGCCTGCCGTTTACTGTCAAGTGTCACATTCAGTAACAGGATTGTTTTAAGCTGCTCATTTGCAACAACACAATCTCCTTGCGTTGTGCCAGCACAGCCATTTGCGCAGCCACTTAGTGAGTCACTTAGGCAAATTGATCCATTTGGAAAAAAAATATTCTGGGAAGAAAAAAAACATGTTTCGTTGGGCCCAGCTGCTGCTCTGACCTAGTTCACTACATGGCTATAAAAGTGGTGATTCCAGCACAGTTCAAGAACAGGAACATAAGAGAAGCTAGGGGGTGGGAGGGAGGGAGGGAGGCACAAAAAGCAATAATCTTACTGAGCGTTGATTCTTACATGCAGCTGTTAAAAATTAATCTGCTCTGTAGGCCCTGAGAAACTACCCAGGTTAGCAAACAGAATCTAGTAAGGGCTGTGATTTTCTCACTTGGCTTCAAACTAACGGCAGAATAATCCCCATAACACAAAGTGGTCATGCCAAATCAAGCATCTTTCTAATACCATACAAACAAGTTGGTATGCTTTCTGTGTTACCAGAGGGAGAAGAGATTATCTAAATACAGAACGGAGTTAAACACACGGGAGCTATAGCAAAATAGAACCAGAAAATCAATGCAATAGGATCATATGTAGCAAAGTATACAAAGCCTACGTACAACTACTTTAACAAAGCTGGCAGGAAATATCCCTGTGCGATTCCCACACTTTCCTCTGTACCACTCGGTATCAATTTTCTCCAAAAGACAAACGGTGTCTCCAGAATGAAGGTCCAAGTCATCAGGATGCTCTGTAAAACAGCATAATTTCAGTTAAAAGTAGTTGGTTTTTGACACTCACTGATTTTCTGTAATAAAAACCTTCTTAATATAAATATCACAGCCAAAAGCAGAATGAGTGTTCAAAAGGTCTTAATAATACTTGATAAACCAGCTAGCTTTAACTAAAAGACTGGCCCAACTACAGCTAAACCCATGGATTTGAACAACACTACGTGCAGACCTTGCATGAGCTTCCTCATCATTTTTAAGTTCTAATTCCTAAGAAAATTCCCATTTGCAAGTCTTGGAGTAAAACAAGCTTCCAGAATATTCACATTTACTTACCTGCAGGAAAATCATGCAGGACTACAGCATGAGGTGCACTTGTTTCAGAAACTTTTGGAGGGTGGTTTGAATCCTGACAACAACAAATAAATCCAAGTAGTTTACAAATCATGGAAGATACTAACAGAGACTCTCTGTTACGTACTCTGAAAGTAATTTTCTAACTTGGGACGTAATGTTGTTCTGGTATCAGAGAACCACCTTTGGAGGAAATGGTTAGTATTGGTCCCACAGCTATAAGTCTGAATTCTGTATGCCTTTTGCCAGTGTAAACCAGAATGCATTACACCAAAATCTACTTGTGAGCCAATAAAAGGAAGGGAAAGGCATGCAGCTTTTCCCAGTATAGACAAAGCCTCAGCTATCTCTGTGGGTCAGAAATCTGGAGCATTGATAGCAACTCTCATTGCTGCATGCCATCAGTTATTTTTTCTGTGCTCGGAGAGACCACTGCAGCCCAACTGTCCCCAGCACACTCACCAGGGGCAACACATCTGCCAAATGCCAAACATGTTAGAGGGGTGAAGCCTTTGCTTACAGGAAGATAATGCTGAGGGGAAATGACAGTTTTGTTGTGGGACCTTTATAAAGGGAAATTATATTCAAAATACTGAGCATTCTTCTCTATCTCACCCACTAGGAATTTTTAGACTGTATTGATGACAATCACTGTGAGTGAATTACATTCAAAGTGACTCATTTCATACAAAAAAACCCAAAACCAAAAAAGCCCAACATGGACAAAGATAAGGCCATAATAATCTGAATTACAACAGCTAATAAGATTGCACAGAAATCTATTTCAGCCATTCAGGTTTCTCATAATAATCAAAAAGGCTGGTCATAGCTATAAATTATACTAGCTATTTAATATTAATACAGTCATGCCCTAAAACCAGGTTAGGTTCTGTAAAAGCAGAGGGAGGAAAATACTTAAGTCTGTATGTCAAAGCCAATTTCACTGATATATCATGTAGAGCACTTCATAAAACCACTCGCTTATCTTTTGCCCACTTTTCAGGTACTCGGCCAAGGGAATTATTATCTTCCTACTACATAGAGGAACCTTACCAGTTTCCTTTCCCTTCTGGCGTTCCAAGTAATTACTGTTGCTCTGCTCCATAAGCAGAGCATCCCTGTGCTATAAGGCAAATCACTATTATTGGGTTTTGTTTTGGTGGTTGTTTTGTTTTATTAAAGAAACACAAGGATTTAATAAACCACTATTACATTTCTCAGTGTAACCTTTAAAGCCTAAAGCACTTGATACTTTAACGCAACAGGAGTCTTGCTCATTAAGTGTTTAGCAGCAGAAAAAAAATGCCTTACCTTACAGGACAGTTCTCCAGGGCTCCTGGGAAGACAATCTTCCTTGGCAACTCCATGAGGCATAGGTAGCTTCAATAAAAACAGAGGCAAATGGAAGAGTTTGTTTCACTTCTAAGCACCTGAAATTCCCACTGCAAGTGAAAATGCTCAGGTGATGGAACTATTCAAACCACCTACTACAGGTAACTAATTTAGGAGTCCAGTGGAAAAGGACATGCTCCTTTGGAAGGCATTCAGAACAGGACTGCTGCTGATCTGAACTGCCACTTCAAGAAACCCAGGTGTTACCATCAGCTTTAAAAGTATCTTAGCCCCCTAACTGGTATCATACCATACAGTACATGATGTTCAGCAGCACACTGACACAGAAATGTATTCATTTGTCATGGAGGGCACTAGATAAACAGCCCAGGAGGAAAAATTCATTTACATTAACACTTGAGGACAGATAATTACCAGTGATCGGCTACTGAAAAAAATCTCATCTGCAAAATACATGTCACACGTTTCTTATGTAAACAGGTGTGGCTACACCAGTGGACGCTGTTCCTACTATCAACTTAGATGCTTCTTTCTCTCTCTTTCTTGCTCCTCTACCCCACCAAGTATCTAAATGCAATAGTGAAGATCAAACAGAAGGCAACATAAAGCTTCCACTTCGTGCAGAATGTTGATGTTGTTTATGCTACAGTTGTGTGGGTGCTTTTTTTGACAACAGCACTGGTCCAAGCCATCACCCATTCTGATCACTGATCAGTGTTTCTCACTGGAGAAAGGCTCTTTCCTTTTTATCTCTAATGTTGACCCATTTCTATTTAATATTCCCTAACAAGATACGCAATACCAAAAATAAAGATTTTTATAATGAAAAGGGATGGCATCAATAAGATGAAAATGTAAGATAAGTGATATTACATTCCTCATGCTTTGCAGGCTTAATTAAGCAAGGTAAACTACCTTTTAACTTCTAATATCCCCCAATTTTTAAAGCATTTTGATATTTACAGGGAAAAACAATATACAAATGCAATTATTTAGCATCATTTTACATTCTGTAATAGAATTCAGAACTGGTGACGGTATAATGAACCTCCAAAACCCAAAATTTATGCATTAAAGATATATACATAAAATAATTATAAATATACACAAAGTACATGCATATCTCTATACTTTCCATGTGTATATTGCTTTCTCTAGTATTACTTTATAGTACTTATCACTATTGATCTATTAGTATTTTCTAAGGAAGATTATGCTGATAGATGCACTTTGAAAGCCACATCATAGTAGCCAACATTACTGCCTTTTTCACTACTATTTTAACCAGCACTGTGTTATAAACAACAGTCTCAGATATTCTATCTCAACTCTCACCATGTATTTACTGTAGAGAGGATGACCTGGTTTAGGTCTAGGAGGTAATGCTGGATCTCGATTTTTAAAGACTTGACTTTTTGCTCTCTTGGGTCCCAATCTGAACTTGCTGGTTTTTTTATCAAGAGCAATGTCAGAAGTAGATCGTGAAAGAGGATCCTTCTGGTTGGAGGTCTTGGCTGCAGAGAGTTTTGGTGGAGGTGGCCTTCCAGGAACACCTTTAGGTGGGGGAGGTCGAGCAGGTATAATTTTTCCATCCACAGGCCTAAAAATTGGTCAAATCATCAGAGAAAAATGCATATTAATGAGCCTGTCACCCCATCCTCCACCACAGCCCTAGCTGTAGAGTATGCAATAAAGAAACATGACTCATGAGGACCTGTGCTGTAGAATGTGTAGTATCTGAAGCTCTCTGGGAATACATGAATTCTTCAGATACTGGGACTGGATAATCAAGTCCTCAGACAGACCCCTTGACTATGTATTTCCAAGTCTGCTCAAAACCCTTGCTTATGAACAGCCTGCCAGCTTTCTCAGGAGGCCACTACACAAGCAGGATTTCTTTCAGCAATCCACCTTTAGAAAGAGCTTTGTCTGAATCAGCCTCAGGTCACTGTTCTTCCAGTGGAGAGCTTTAGTGAAAGCCCTGAGAAGCTCTGCTGGTCTTCAGGAATCAGCCTAGCTCATTCCCTAGGATGTTACTTACCTGAAGTGACTTTTGGGCCTCTGCTGAAATTCATGACATATGACACCACTTTGCACAATGGCATCAATAGCAGAATTTACCATTTTTATGCAAGAGATGTATACTGCAGAAAGAAAACACTGGTGAAAACACTCGAGTTTTCTGTCAATTGCTGGAGCTATCACACTCTCATTAGTGTACCAGTAGTTTAGAAACCAAAATCAGAGACTAGTAAGTGACAGTGGTAAATTTAAAACAAAAAATTAAAAATCTCCTTTACTAAGCATTGATTTAAAAAGCTGCCTATACAGTACACATGAGCCATGATTTTGAGAATCAAAAAGTATGGCCAAATCAATAATTTGCTAGCTAAAACTCACCTCTGTTATAAACAAGTGTTATGTACACAAACTTTGGCTTCCTGCTATTAAGAACCCTGGCACTACCACTATTCAAAAAATACAACATTGTTTGATGGTTATTGGGAAATCTTCAGGCAGTTACTGCAAGTTTCTGCTACAGTTGTCTCTCTTTTTTTCATATAGTGTAATTAAGCATAATTATTTGCTCACATGAATTCCTCAAAATTCTTTAAAAATTATCAACCATAACAAATGTGCAACAGTGAATCTTTGGAGTATCCTTCTAACACATTTTGTGAGTGTCATCCACCACTTGCAAAGATATTAGTGCTCTATTAATGCTCCTGATGAGAGTTCTCTATTTCTATTTGAGTATAAATTAATTGTTAAATTAAAAAAAAAAAAAATCCACTTCTGTTCAACTTCCACCTCTCTGAACTAAGCATTTTTAATATTGACAAAAGGGGAAATTCCAGGTTAGACTGCATTAAATCTGGAAACAAATCAACCTGTACGTTTGTAAGGCAACTCAACGAAACATGAAAACCCTAACAAGCAAATCAGAGAATTATTATTGCTTACTTAAAAAAAAAAAAATAAAAAAAATCAATTTGAGCAGAAAAGTGAAAGGACAAAATGTTTACTGCAGTTCCAGAGACCCTTGGGAGAATCAGGAATGCTGTTATGCTAAACAGAATGGGGGAAAGTAACAAGTCCATAAGGAGCAACAATCAGGTGTTTCCTTGTGAGTACAACCACATTATTTCCTGTTAATGAATACTTTTTATTATTGGTAGACTAAGTTTAATAACTGAAAGATTCTCTCGTAATGACACAACAGGGCAAACTCTTGTGTTTAAACCCCCAGATTTAGAGTGCAGATGCTGAGATAGCTTCGGTGGGCTAGCTAGCCAATGCCTTATCTCCCTCAGGTTTGTCTCTGGCATTTAATGGACCTGAATTTAAGACTGGTTCAGCTATTTTTGCCTCTGCAGACCTTCTTTCTTGTTGGTTCAAAAGAATAAAAAAACCTGATATGATCATTGATTCTGCACCTTCACAGGTGTTTTAGGTCTGACGTGAATTGTATAAACTAGACAGTGCTTCTGGGAAGGTGCTGGCCCAGCATCTGCTGATTTCAGGGTGGCAGCATCTGCCACCTCCATTCCTTCACCACTCAAACCCAGCCACAAATGCTGCTGATCAAAAGGTCAGCGACATGCAGGAGGGGATGTTCAGCTGTGGGTGGAAAGGTTAAAGATGCAGAAAGGAATGACTGTCAGCAGCCACTGTACATTAGCTGAAGAGCCAAACAGCTGTCCTCCTATAATCTCCTTGCTCATACCAGTAAGGTACAAACAAGTATTAACCAGCTAGCAACTTGGTCCTGCCTATTTATTAGTGAGTATACTACCTACCCAAGCCTACTGACTTAGGACTAGAGTTGGTAGTGTCTACATTCAAACTAACCAGGCAAACTAACTCAGAAATACCACTTTTAAGTGAGTCACTGAACAAATGCACTTACCTTGGGGGTAGTACAGGTTCTAGCTGAAGTACTCCACCCTGTTCTGAATGATCCAGCTCCTGCAGAGATTCAAAAGAAAAAAGCCATTTCTTTAAGCCTAAGAAACAAAAATGATCTTGTTTAAATGATGCATTTCTTTTATTAAATTATATCCCACCAACAGGAAAAACAAGAGTTTCTGGATTAAAGTAATAAGTAGTATGGTGTATTCTAGAATTTCAAAGTCCTGTTGGACATAGAGGGAGATGTAAATAACCCGGCTGACTATCTGAATCACAGCTTAAATTGTGCATTAGGTATGACCCAGCCCTCTTTTCCTACTACATGGGAGTCAGGGCTTAAGAGCAAAATTCAGGAGAGTCATACAAATGCACAATTTCACTGCCTGTAGGATTCCAACTGCCACAGTTACATTCTCAATTTTGATTTAACTTTGACAGATGAAACACTTTGAACAGGCTTAAAGCAGAAAACATGACACTGATGCAACTCACACTGGACAACATCTCTTGCAAATAACACTAGCTCTCATTAAAGAAGGCATCTAAGTATGTTTCCTGGAGTTTTAACAGATAAACCCTGGTGGATCTTGCTTTGGCAGATTAAGGCGTCACTCCTCCCAGCTGTCCATCCTGACCCTGCCAGAGATTACTGCCCCGTGGCAGAGTCCATAGAGGGGAACATGTGCCATGTCTGAAGGGCTTGGACGACAGTAATGGATTAACAAGTTACCATCCTTTTTGCCTCCTGCTGCTCATTTTCATCCCAGTGCCAGACAGTACTGCCAACTTCACTGAACAAGAACAACTGCTTGTGGAACACCATGGTAAACCAGAGTGCTGAATTTGGGTTCAAAAGTATCCTTTCTGAACCAGGAATTTTAAATAGGTCTGAACAGTCTTTTTTACTTAATTAGGGATATATGTGCTTGAAACTGGTAAACAATTACTGTGTAATACCTAGATGTATTTTCTGACAAAATTTTGACCCCTCATTAAGTGTCCAGATGAATGTTCCTGATTAAATGATCCTGATTAGAAAGAAAACAACCAGCCACTTTCAGATGAGGATGTGATCCTCATACAAAAAATTTTCCTCTTCTGTGTGAAAAGGAAGAAATCTGTGCCAACTGCTGCTTACGGTCAACAATTCTTACTGTTGCTGGTTAAGCACTTACACTGAGAAACAATAGTAGTGTTAGAAGCACAGAATTTCTTCTCTTTCCAAAGACAAGATTTAAATGTTTCAGAGGATTTGATGAAATCTTTTTCTTAAAACAATCCTCTGAAGCTTACACATGCCTGTCACAATAACCTGGATGACACTGTAAAAGTTTTGGGGTTGCATTGTACAAAATGTTATTTAACATCTTGTATTGGAAATTATTTTTTCAGCATTATCCAAAAAGGATGGGACCTCTATGAATAACCCCTTCAATTATGAAACTTTAAAACCCCTTTATCCTATTAGCAGAGGTAGGCACAAAGACATTTGTTGGCAGTTCTCCACCTAGTGAGGGCTTTTGATTTGATTTGATCTTTTTACTGCCTGTGGTTTTCACAAAATTCTCTGCCATTCTTGCCATCACAGCACTCAATATTTGGAAATTCTACTGTAATTTTCTAGTTTATTATAATTCTCTTTTGTAAATCTGTGTCAAAGGGCACATAGGATACACAGCTACAATGTCTACCATTACCATGCTGCTCAGGAACGAGGAGCAAAGCTTTACTTTACAAAATACACGGTTCTACTCAGGCTCTGACAGGACCAGTAGAAAACAACGAGAAGGAAAGAGCTGAAGAAAGTAAGCTTGCTTTGTAGTGCTTTTGAAACTGAATTGCAGGATATCCTGATTCCAGCTGGCAAATACAGAAAATAGAAGATAGATGTGATCAAAGTTTAGTAGAATCAACAAAAGTGCTTCTCAGAACTGACAGCAGTCTAAATTACCTAATTAAATTAGAGAATGCAATTAAAAGAAAAAAGCCTTATAATTTTGAGTAGTCCTTTTCATCCTTTGGACCTTCAAATAACTTACTTTATAAATGTTTGAGAGTCACAAGAGATCTGTTAACCAAAGCAAACAAAGTTGTAATAGAGGAAAACAGTTCTAACTTACCACTTTTTTTACTATGTCAGCACCGTTGGGTTTTCCCACTGTGATATCAGAGGTGTTCCCAATAGGCTTTTCAGCAAAAAGTGGTGGAGGGCTATGCAGGATTTCATTTAAAGCTGTGAAAAGACACAAGTTCACAAATGAAAATCTAAGTAATAGCTTCTTTACACTGACCAACAATAGGTAAGGGAATGCACCTTGGTTTGGGGCATTTTTTTGTGAACGTAACTTCCTTCCTCAAAGCCAGAGCAGCCAATGGACAGGACCACTTAACGACTAGTGAAGAGAAAAGGGACATGAAGGGAACATTGCAACCTTGAGGTTAACTTCACAAATACTTCTCATCCTGCATAACAAATCTTCACTTTACTCTCAGGACACCAGCAAGTTATTCTAGGGTTTCAGGGTTTCAGCTGCAATACTTGTTGATACAATATTAGAGGAGTAGAAGAGTTTCTACCCCTGGGAATGTCAGATTCATTACTGGATACCCTGAAACACCATCATCATCTCACAGCCACATTTCTAAACTGGCTCACTTTTTTCAGCTGTCAGCTCCTGGAATACCCTTCAGGCTGGAAAACAGCTGAGGGTTATTTCAAGTAACCCTGAAAGATCAGGAGACTTGGATGGAAGAATCTCCAGAAAGGTAAAGGCAAGAAAAGAAACTGTGGCCTGCTACAAAATTCTAAATGACAGAAAGAAAACAGAGATGGAAGCTCCCTGGTAGTCTTTAAGGAGCTAAGCAAATTTAGGACATGGAAGAGGAACAGTACAGCTCTTACTAGGGAAGAGTGATGATTACCTCAGTCTCAATAAACAACACAAACCCCTACTAATTCAACACCTCTACCATTGAAACCCGGGAAGCACTTGGACAGGCTTTGCAAGCACTTTTATCAATAATTGTGTCGTCACGGGCAGACAGCCTGGACATTTATAGACTGATGATAAAAAAGAGGAGCAATTCTATTCAAATGATAACTTTCAGTTTCTCATTTCCTGAAAGGTACTCTCCACAAAGAAACAGTTACCGTGTTGGCAGTGACCGACCGTGGTGAAAAGAAGGTAGTGGAGTTCTTCACTCTTATACTAGCTGAATAAAAAGTAAAAACACCTGACAGTAATTGCAAGAGAAATCTTCTCTTATCATACCTTACTGATATATAAAAAGCATGAGAGATTTATTTATTCTCACCACTTCAAATCTTGATATATACACAGATGGCCTAATTTCCTCACCTTTACTAAGACCAAAATTAAAGGAAATAAAGGAAGGAAAAAAACCCCACAAACTAGAAGGCAGGTGTTATTTTCAGTGATTTCTAAGTGTAATAACTGAAGTGAAAGTTTAATGCTTCCTTTCTAATCACAGCTCGACAAAAATACTTATGCTAAACGAGTCCTTTACTGTAGTTTAAAACTTCTTAAGTACCCAGCTCTGTCCCCTTTTCGTAGTGCTGGGTAGGGTGTTTTCTGGTTTATTGGGGTTCTTTCTTTTTGGTTTGTGCTGGTTCCTAACAGAATTAATCTCCCCACATACCCACGATGGTGAAAGACTTCTTGTACTGAGATTTTGTAGCCCTCTTACAACATAAATCCTACTATATCCATTTTATAACTTGGCCCATTTGTACTTTTCTCAATTTTTAACAGCTTATACTTCTGCAGCAGCTCCTATCTGACTTTCTTGGAACCTGCTCCTGTTACTCCACATCATCCCATTAATCTCTCAGCCACAGCCTCTCATAAAGCAGTCCTTCACACACCCCAGACAATCAGAGCCCAGTACAGTATGACCAGCAGTCTCCCGTGCTTTCTCCACTAGAGAGCAGCAAGGGACCACTTATCTATAAATTCAAAAGAGACTCCAGCTCAGAGAAAAAATAAAGAAAAAGGAAAAAAAAAAAGTTGTTTTTGTTTTTTTTTTAAATAATGGAAATGACAATTTCCTTTGTGGAGAAGAATTGTGTCTTGGGTTCTTTACCGAAGTAGTTCATAAACACATTATTCCAACTGAAAAAATCTGTTATTTATGATCAGGTATTAACGGAAAGACTTTTCATCATAACTCTATCTTCAGTCTTCTCTGCATTTTTAATCCTTTCCACTGCATTTGTCACATATGCAGAGAAAAAGAAAACCTAGTATTTTAGCACGGGGGTGGTGGCAGGGGGAAAGGGAACTAGGGAAATAATCAAAGTCTTACAAGAAAAGGCACCTGGACATCTAGTTGCTATAAGCTGTTTCTATATCTACTCAGTGTAGTAAAACATGATTTTGAAATATGAGTTTTAAGAGATATCTTGTGACATTTCTCCCTGTGCTTTGAGGATAAAATATAAGGCTAAACAGAAGCAAGTATGTACTCCAGCACACAATGATCAACACAAAGACCTTGTGGCTCTCTGATAAATTTCCACTCCGAGATACTGTCAGTGTCATTTGTAAAGCTGTAAAAGATTAGAAGTGGAAGGTATTAGGGATACAGTAACTGTCAGAAAACTATAGTCAAGACCTTGACACAAAATTGAACACATCAGGTTTTTGCATCCAAGTTCTCGCATGCCTTTTTTAATTCCCTCAACTGCTACCAAAACACTATTCCTTAAATGGGCTCAGATTTCAAATCTAACAAGGGTCAAGGGAACTTTTTGACGTAAACTGTGAAAATTATGCTTACATCCCAGCTAAGCTGTGTTTGAAGCAAAGTTTAATACACTAATGTTCCTTTGACAAGTGGGGGCCCTGCTCTCAGGAAGCTTGGGGGCAGCTCAGCCGATGTCAGAACAGATGCCAGAACTCAATCTGACCAAAGGTACAGCTCAGTGATATGGTTCAGCTGACTAAACAAGCTTGTTTCTGTTGAAAGAGTCTCCTCCAGCTCTTCCCTGCCAGCCTTTAGATCTTCCCCCATACACTGTTTCACTTCTGATATGCACTAGCTCTGTAAGGTCTGAGAGACATCAAACTTAGTGCAAAGCAGGGAGCCAGACAAGGTAGCTGGGAGGCAGAGAGAGGGGAACATGACTCCCAGCTATTTCTCCCTCTCACCACAGCCCTTAGGCTGGCTCCTCTGTCTTGTCAAACTGTACCCTGGGATTCCTTTGGCAGCTAATATAGGTAGTAAACAGCAACTCAATTAGTAAACAGCAAGTTCCAGTTAAAATGATTTTTTGAAAGAAATTTCTGAGACAATCTGGGAGAAGAACTTACGTTTTCCAGCTTTAGCTGGGATTCGGATCACAGTGGGTTTCCGGGCTACAGCTGGCTGAGCTGTCTGTTCCTTTGCAGGTTCACTTTTGGCGAGGAACTGAAATGGATCTAAAAGGAAAAAAACCCACCAACACATTTAATAATTATTTGTTGAACACAAATCTCACTGAGGATTGCTTTCATTATTAAGGGCATTTATATTTCACGCCCAAGAAAGTAATTAAAATATATATATAAATTAGTCTAATGCAAAGACCATACTCAACTCTTTGTAAATGACATGTCTTTTCTGTACATCTGTATTCACAGTTAACATCAACATGCTCCAGATGCCTTCTGGGATTATACAAGCCAGTGAACAAGAGGAAGTGCATTGCTTGGTAGCAGGGACATGAAATCAGGATGGCTTTAGGGAAACATTTTCAAGCAGTTGCTCTAATATGCAGACACAGCAGTGAACACATTTGCTAAAAAGTTGTAATCAATAAAATATTGCCAAAACTAAACCATCAGCATTGCAGCAGATAAAATGCCTACAGAAACAAAACAAAACAAAGCATTTAAATATTACTGATTACAAAATGTCTTTGCTGTAGAACAACTAATTCCCTGGAAGACTCTGCATCATTTTGTTGATTATAAACCTGGTGTCATGGGGGAGACTGATTCAGACCAAGGACTCGGAGTTGTGCGTGAGCTCTGCCCCGCCTGTATCAGTCATTCCTCTACAAGCCTGTTCAACCCTGTAAGACAGGAGCAATGTTTTCTATGCTTCATAAACTTAGGCACTGGTCTCTTATTAATAGGCATGGGAACATATGTGCATGTAGAAGGCAGCTGTAAAAATACTTGTACATAAATAAAATCCAAATCAATGGGTTTCTTCTCAAGTACACCTTCATGTCAAAGAGCAATACTCCATTTATACCTCTTCTCTGATGTTAAGAACTGTAACTTTTTTCTCTGATATTACCAAAAACTGCATTAAGATAGCAATACTTAACAGTATCATAAATGTATAAAGTAGAAACTGGAGAAGCACTCCGGACAATAAATTCTCCATGACACATATTCATAGCCCAAACAACCAAGTTTGATCTCCTCTGGTGGCCTTTTGAGATGTGTGGCTCAATGAGATGTTATTTATGGAGTGTCAGGGTCTCAGAGAGGAAGTATGCTGGGCATCTCTTTAAATTCTTCAGGACTTTTAATAAAAACATAGTATTTCCCAAAACTCCTGCCACACTTTCTGACAAAGTTGAAAGCCCTGTATTTCGTAAAATTCTATCTTTAACACTTATAAAAAAAAATTAAAAAATTATATAATATGAAGTCATTATTTCATAGACATAATTTTGGATAGAATAACATAATGCAGTTAATGAAGACACTAGAAATCTGTGTCTGGGAATATACATAAGATTTAAGAAAATCCAGAAATATGGTATTTATTTATGAACCTCATTAAAATCTTTCATCATTTTAATTTAAAAAAGCCTTGGCATTTTTAGAGATAGGGGAAGAAGACTGAGTACATTAAGCGCTGGTTTGGGGTTTTTTTTTTAACCAAAAATAGTCCCAAAGTAATTTCAGAGAGAGAAATCTGTGTAATATTGAGCTGCTGAATTACAGTGTAACGGACAACATGCTGCAGGGCCTGTGCACACTCACCCCTGCTCGGATGTCCATCTCCCACCAACTCCTTGCTTAAGGCTCTCTTCGTAGGCCATCACGTACAGGTGTGCCACGGAGGTTTGTGCCATGGTCTCGCAAAGTCAAGATGCCTACATGCCTATAGCCTCCTCAGGAATCTGCCTGAGTACTTTCATGTCACATTTTAATTATGAATCAAAGCACATCAATTCCTTCTGTCAGGCTGCCTGTACAACAGCTCTGAGCGTACACTTCAGGTAGAAAGGATCATGACAGGTCAATGATTTGCCTACAGCTAAAGGTAGACAGGCTATATACAGGTCCTACACAGCAGGACCGTAGGGAACACACTGGCACACGGAGCACCTCTCAAGGTGAGGCTCTGCAGAGGTTATGGAAGTTCTGCATGAACAATGAAGAAGCAATTTTCCAAAGCCTCCACCTTATAAATATATTGCCATCATGAGACCACGTGGAAATGCTCTAAACACTCAAAATCATCACAGATCTGTATTCTTGTAAATTTATGGGAGATTTAAAATTGTACAAAATTACTGTTAGTCAGTTGTTAATCACTGCTATGGGAAGAAATGGTTTTCTCAACCATTCAACAGTTGGTAGAGGTCTCTAAATCAATCAATCTGAGAAGTAATTTTTAAGGCTGAGAAAAGTCAATTCTGAGGCTGAGAAAACCATTTGATGAACCTTAGTTTTTCACTCATTATCTTATGTTTAATTGTACTGTTGTCACCTCATAATTAGTTTAAAACTCATTACCTTGTTTTTGTTATTCCATTCCCCAGTGTTGAGTTTCCAGCAGAAATTCGCTGAGTAAATCACTGTGCTGCTTTGTGCAATGGGACTGACAACATATCAATTTTTTATGTTGTTTAACAACAGTTGGGCAGTGTTTGAGCATAATTCACAGAGGTGTGAAAACAGGATTGTTAATATAGTCATTTAAAGCTTCTCAGCTCAAGGAAAATAATCTGCAAGGCATTTTTCATAGCACATATCAACAGACCTCTATTGATTTTTTTTTAATAAACTTTTGCAATGATGCTTAAAGCCTGTGTCTTAGTTTTCTACAGCTTCTTCTTCAAAGGTTTATGTGCTAACATATATTACTGTGCTGGTTCACAGGAAAGACAGATGAAAGCTGTGTATTCAAATATAGCATATAGCATCTCTTTCTTTTACCAGGTTAGGAGAGACAGCTTTTTTCCTCCACTCTCAGTTACCAGCCTTGTTTAAAATAAAAAATTAGGAGGTTACAGAACAAACACTACGTTTTTCCCATGTGAACAGGTTAGATGGGTATCTTTCTGAAACATTTATTGGTTATCTTTAAGTAGGTGGTAGTAAGATGGTAACAGATACCTCAGCAGCAATAAGGGGAGTCTCCAGATAAATCAGATGTGGAAAGCTGAAAGCACAGAATAGTATTATCTGTTGTGAAGTTGCTTAGTCCTACAAGAAGTACTCTCAGCAAAAGAGAACAACATGGTTGTTGATAGGAAAAGTGTTGATGCTGACGTTACAACACTGACCACTACAGTATTATGCAACTGTGTCTACTTTCAATGTTTAATTAAAAAAACCTACATCAGCTGTTCAAGGCAAGGCTCACACATTCTCTTCACACAGAACAGCATTGTTATCAGGGTTTTCCAGAAACAGAGAATAGAACCAAACCTCATCAACAAATGGTTTTATTAAACCCTAGCTCCATGAAAACACTCTGGTGTTTGTGGAAGCACACTTAACACATAATCTGGGGAAAGACTTGCGACAAAAGGTCCCTCCTAGTTATACAGCTGGAGATTCAATGGACACCTGACAGGTAATATCCCAAAGAGGAATGGGGTCCATGCTTAAGAAACACTGTGAAATGCTACAACCAAAAGTCTGACGTTCACTCAGATGATCTAAATCTCAAACTATTTACAACTATAAATAGACATATTAGCCATGGATCCTACCTAAATTCTAGCACCAGTGATTTTCCCAATCTCAGTTTTCCCCAGTATTTTTCTCCACTGAAATTAACAGTTCACTGTTCTAAGAAATGGTATTTCTGGCCCAGAGAGAATAATATGGGCTATACTGCCTTTCTCAAAATATGCAATTTGCATCTTCCTTTGCACGGAAAATTGCCACGCTGTGGACTTGACCATGTCTTTCTTCAATATTCTGGGAAATTAATAAAGAAAGGAAAAAAAAAAAGAAAGAGAATGGGATGTAGGCTCTTTCAGGATGTAATCTGTGCATAACCTGAAAGTAAACTCAGGTGAAATTTAGGCTTCTCAGCATTCTCCTATCATGAGGAGAGCAGACCAGGTCACTCCAACAGAAGGAATACAGTATTCAGTAGTAGACTTAAAATTTGAGCAGAGACAAGCAAATCTGCTATCATAACATTCTGGAATTTCTTTCTCCCCACTTCATAAAGAAGTTTTTCCTGAGTAGCCCAGTTATTTTGGTAGAAGCTATGAATGGACTGTGTGGTCCTGCTTCATTCAAAGATTTACAGTTCACTAGGCCAAGGAGATTTGCTTTACCAGGTATGTCACATTTAGTCAAACAGGCACTTGAGCGGGTTTGTAAAAACCTCTTATATGTAACAACCTCTGCATATAAGTAGCTTTTCCAACACGTTTGCCAAAGCTTTAGTTTTATTTCTGGACCTGCCTATGCTGTTTTATCAAAAGCACACAACACTGGAGAGAGCACACATTAATTTCAGCAAGTTTTATCTTGAGGATTATGTCTCCTCCCAGAAACATTATATCCACATGTCAAAACAGAAATTTCAAACTTCTCACTTATTAACAAGATTTTTTGAAAAGGATTTGTGCAAAGACTTCCAGGACAGGAAGAATTTATCCAGCAACATATATTGCTACTCAGAGCAGAGAAAATGTAGTGAACTACTTGCACAGGTTTTAGGCATTGCTCCCTGTTCACTGCTGACACCTGACAGATCACCACAAAAAGCAAGGCACCTTCAAGGCCAGGGAACACTGTTTTTGAGGAACGAGGCCAATCCAAAGAATGAATGATGTGTACAGGATACACGTGGCATTCACAGGAGCCTAGCCATCAGTACAACAAAAGTGCACAAAGTTAGAGAATTACGTAGAGTTTCATATTGTCTGGAAAGTAGAGAAAAAAAAAAATTGCCGAGAGATGCAACAGAAGATCCAACCTAAATGTACTTGTTGAAAACGGAAGATGTCCTTAATTGAGCAATGAAATATCTCATCCACAGTGTTAGAAAGATGGAGAGCAGATAAAATAAAATCTACTACTAGAATCACAAAATTTCTTGGGCTATTGTAACACTTAATGGCAATACAAGCATTCATGGGGTGGAAAACTACAGTGCTACATCATAGACAGAGACAGATACAAAGGGACCTTTTCCAAGCTTTCAGCACTTCTCTCTCAAACTG